TGCTCTCCCAAATATGCATTCAGATCAGAAAAAAAAGGAGGAAATAATTTTAAAGGAGCAACGATATAAAGACAAGACTTGAGGAATTTAATGCACGACACTCTCTTCTCTGGCCATCAAAGCCTCAGAAAGAGGCCAACTCCAAGACTGAGATGATGGTGGCCTCTCTCATTTTAAGGAAGGCTTTTTGAGTACATTTCTAATTGGTGGGAACGATTTTGGATGACACAGAATGCCACCATGTGCAGGCTGGGTGGGAGGTGATCTGGCTGTGCCATCGGCCGCACGTCCAAGACCCAGGTTGAAGGCATGCTCTGCTTCTGGACGCTCGTCTTTCCAGCTGTTCTGAAGTGGAACTGAAGGACCAAGAAGCTATGTGGTAAAGACGTGGGTGTCAGGAAATTGCCTGCGGATTTAGGGATGAGCCTTTTAAATGTTAATTCCTAGAAAGTCATCCTTGACCTTCTGCCCTCCCCCAGGGTGGCTAATGTGGGATTGACTCGGGGCAATCAGGGATTTGGAAGCGCAGGTTTCACTCGGTAACCTCAAAGCGTTTTATAGAATAAGCATTAAATGTTAGGATTAGGGCTATTTTCTCTGTAGCCCAGGGAAGGGAAATGTCATAGTTGGAGTGGCCGGGTTTATACCACTGCATGGAATTTGTGGCTGTCTGGTTACCAGCATCCTTAGGAAGCAATTCCTGATTTTCTGAGGTGGTGGCTAGAGGAGGGGTCAGTTTTCAATAACAAATCAGCTTACTCATCTGACGTTTATGTTGCAGAAGTTTCTCTACTCCTGGGCCGGCCCGGTGGCGCACTGCTACAGTGCGCCGCTTGGGAGTGCGGCGGTGCTCCCGCCGAGGGTTCGGATCCCACATACAGACCGGCCGCTCGGTGCGGGCGCAACACCGAGGGGTGCGATCCGTTGCCGGGCATGGAAAAAGACAAAAAGGAAAAAAAAAAAAAAAAGAAGTTTCTCTACTCCTGAAGATCTGATGTATAGCCTTTGGTGAACCTCCTATCTTAATAGTCAGTGGCTAAAAAACCCAACCTCCCACCTCTGCCACTTCTCATCAGTATCTTTCAGTCAGTGACCTTGTGTAAGCCCATTTGTGTCTCCACAGGAGAAAGACACTTCCTCCGAACTTGTCTCTCCATCCTACAAGCCTTGTTAGGGAAACGCAGGTGCCTTCTCCATCCCTCCCATCTCCACAGCTCCAGGCCGAAAGATCGGGAAAGGCATCGCTCAGTCTATGGCTTACTACAAATATCCTGAAATTGTTCTTAACGATAACAACACTCGGAGTTTTTAATATTTTTGGTGACTAAAGTGTAAATGAATCTGAAGGTGATCAGTCTATGAATGTAAAATATCAAAAAGAAGGGTATGGGGTCAAAAAACTTTAGGTTATTAAAACCTACAGGTAGGTCCAAATGAGCTGAGAATAGGGATTCCCTTTAGAAGGATTCTGCTGAAAGAATATCATCCCGGACAACAGAACTTTGTAGAGAAAAAAGGAGTCATATATTTAAGTTGGCTTTTGTCCAGTAGTTTTAAACTTGTTTGTCCAATTTTACTTAAATCCATTTTGCAAGTTTAGAATTTTTCTTTATACACACACACATGCACACACATATTTATACATACATATATATTTTCATATATACATATATGTATATATATGTATGTGTATACATAATGCTAAGCAAAATCCTCTGCCAAGCAATTGGCACTATGGCAAGAAGTCCTTTGAGGAAGAAATATCAAGGCATATTAGGGTTTGTCTGTTCTTTCATTCAACAAGTATTAACTTAGTAATTTATGTGCCAGGCACTGGGCTGGGGACTGGGGATACACAGTGATCAAGACACAGACCCAGCCCTCAAATTGTTGGGGGCTCTGCAAATGGCAACGAGTAAACATGCAATGACACCAAGACCATGCTGTAAAAGAAAGCACAGGAAGGTGCAGCTAAAACCTAGACTTGGGAGGGGTGGGAGGAAGGTCAGGGAAAGCCGCTGGGGTCGGGTGGGATTGGGGGAGTGTCTTCCAAGTCGTGAACTAAAGACTAAAAGGAAGCCAGCCAGGTCCAGGGGGCAGGGTGGGGCTGGGGTGGGAGGGAGAGTGTTCTAGAAAGAGCAAATAACATGTGAAGCATGTTGTATAAAGGGCTGGGAAGACCATGAAGTTCTCCTGTTTGTCCTAATTCAACATTTTCTAGATTTTACAGGGTTGGGGATAACTGTTCCCAAACTGTGCACATCAGTAATTAAATATATTTCCTGTGATTCAAGACATTTCAGCTGCCCCATTTGTATTTTCTTAGGGCAGGCTGGCCAACAGACATAACTGAACTGCCATTTGGAGGTCTCATTTCCTGTTCCACAAAGTGGCTTTTTCCTAAGCCACTAAGCTTTGATATAACAAAAGCATATAAAACGTGTCAGACCACTCACCTATAAACATCT